CTCGCTGGAAGCCAGGGAGGTCTCAGGAAGCTTTGCATCCACTGCTCACCTCGTGCCACAGAGGGAGGGAGGAGCAGAGTGATGGGGGAGCAGGGCTGTTTACTGTGTCCTCAGGAACGTGCAGGAACCTGCCAGGAGCTGGGAGCTGGGGTGGGGACTGCTCACCGTGAAACACCCACCGCCCCGGGGAAGCGCAGAGGGTGAGAACCCCCAGCCCTCAGCAAACACAAAACTGCATCAGCAGCTGAGGGACCTGCCTCGTGCCATCCCCTGGGGTGAGCGGAGTCGAGGAGGTGAGCAATGGAAGGGAGGGAGAAACGGGGAGAAGTGATTTAGGAGCAGTTTCAAGCGTTGCTGGTCGGTTGAGGGAGGGGATTGTCATGCTTTGCTCTGAGCTGGGGCGGCCTCACCTCGAGTCCTGGGGGCCGTTTGGGGGCCACAGTGTCAGAGGGATCTAAAGCTGTTGGGGAGTGTCCAGAGGAGGGACAGGGAGCTGGGGAAGGGTGTGAGGAGCAGCTGAGGGCACTGGGCTGGTTCAGCTGGAGCAGAGGAGACTGAGGGGAGACTCCTCGGGGGCTGCAGCTCCTCCCGAGGGCAGGCGGAGGGGCAGGCGCTGAGCTCTGCTCTGGGACCAGGGACAGGAGCCAGGGAAGGGCTGGAGCTGTGCCAGGGGGGGTGGGATGGATCTCAGGGAAAGGTTCTTCCCCCAGAGGGTGGTGGGCACTGCCCAGGCTCCCCAGGGCAGTGGGCACGGCCCCAAGGCTGCCAGAGCTCCAGGAGCGTTTGGACAACGCTCTGAGGGATGGGGGGGATTGTTGGGGTGTCCTGGGCAGGGCCAGGAGTGGGACTGGATGATCCTTTGGGGTGCCTTCCAGTTCAGGAGATTCTATGATTATATGCACAAATCTTTGATTGTGATTGTGGAGCACAAGACTGATGAGGAGCAGCTGAGGGAGCTGGGGGGGCTCAGCCTGGAGAGAAGGAGGCTCAGTGGGGACTTTCTCACTCTCTGCAACTCCCTGACAGGAGGGGGGAGCCAGGTGGGAGTCGGTCCCTTCTCCAAGGTATCAAGTTATGGCACAAGAAGACACAGCCTCAAGTTGCCCCAGGGGAAGTTTAGATTGGATATCAGGGAAAACTTTTTCACTGAAAGGGTGAAAATAGAGTTCAGATGAGATTTATGGGCCTCCATGAAGCAGCGACAGCAGGTGAGAAGGGGGATGTTTTATCAGAAAACATGACTTTAAGATCAGCATCCAGGAGCTCCAGGCACTGTGAGGTTTGCTGTGTGTCCGTGGTGGGCAGCTCT